TAAGTTTTAGGGCAGCCTTTATCGGATGGGTATGCTGGCCGGACCGTGCTACTATCCATAATAGGTTTCCAAAATGAAAAACGTTTAGCATCTACTTAGTAACCCGGAAAACAAGCTCATTTTGAAATATCATTCAACGGAGCTGAGAAGTACTTATAAAGTACATTTTATATAAAGGAGATGTATAGATCAAAGCTTAGATAGTTGATGATATTTTCATGCAATCCTATTGTCAAATGCATTATCAGTTAAACAAGTGACCACAAACTAAGTAACAATACAGATTAAGTTCGCACCGATTATCCCTGGGCTGCGTTTTTCGTTATTTGCTTTTTTACTTTTAGCCTGGAACTAGCGACAGTCAGCTTTATTATCTACCGACCTCAATGACTTCTTTTTATTTGTACATGCTGATATATAGTATCTTTGTACAATAGTTGTATTCTGTCCTTGTTTCGTTGTGTTATTCATCAAAATCTTATAATAACTGAATAAAGAAAAAATCATCAATGGAAAAAGTCTCCCAAGTGCTACTTGGGTGTGTGTGTGTGTGTGTGTGTGTGTGACTGTGTTTTATGGCAAGCAGAACTCCAGGTATAAATAAGTGCATTTAAGAGTACAATACCAAGATTAAAAAAAAACAACGAGTCGAAACGCCCAAAAAGCGAAATTTAAGAAGAAAATTGTTTATATGATTGTTGAAATAAACTGGACTACTCCAGCCCTACAATGATTATATTGCACTTTCAATGATCTCTACACAAGTCTAAACCCAAGAGCCCACTCAATTTAACACAAACTCTAAGTCGCTTCATATAATAGGAAAAACGAAAGTTTTTATACTATTGTTTCCATTTACTAAACATTTGTTCTTTGTCTGAAAAAAAAAAAATGAATCTTCAAGAGCTTTTCACATACATGCGTTCTCGTCTACCTCTGTCCCTAGGTCTCTATTGTAAAAAATAGAACTTGTCCTTCCATTTCACTCAAATGCTGTATGTTAGGCGACGGGGCTCGAACCAAAGATTTTCAAGGTTTTTAATACGTAATGCTTAGTACAAGCATTTGAAATCGAAGGCAATGAACTGACAATCGTGCAACATATACAATGCGTGGTAGCACACGGAACGTGCTTTGTGACCTGGCTGCCTTCAACGTCAATTACCATTTCGCCTAGTCACACAAAAGAAATACATTTGTGTTGTATCAAAAAAACAGCAGACGAAATCATATATATTAAAAAATAGCAAAAAAAAACACGGTGTGGTACGTTCAGTTCGGCATCTGCCAGCTGATCGCGCAGCAGCCATATCTGACAAAGTATGAATATTAGTATACGTGTTTTGACTCTGATCTTTTTTTTTGTACAGAAACCAATGACCAAGCACGAAAAATAGCAGCGCAAATAAAGCTAACATACGGCCTTGGCTTTGAACTGATTCCACTATCGTGTGCAATGTCACACATACACGTAAAATTTCTGGCAAACGTATCGGCCACTGTTGGATAGAACACAACAGACCTGCCCCACATCACAAATATCTTATGCAAAGAAAAAAAAAAAAGTGTTATCTCGTTATTTCTGCGTAGTTGATGCGTTATGGATAATAGTAGTTGGAATGCAATGCAATAATACGTGATAAATCCGCGGAAGAGTTAGTAAAATCGTATGGATCATTTATACTGCTACAGGCTTCAGATCCACTAGAACCTGAACGATACGCTATTAGTCAACAACAAGAAACAACTGATGGGCTGTAGGTTATCAAATGGTTTACAAGCTATAGAATGAACGTATGTTAACAATTGTTAAGTATTTAGCTGTTGTCGATTAGATTTTCATTAATTACTGCATTAAATATTGCAAAGCTTAGCAGAAGTCGTTGCAAGCTTGCATACTAAAATGCACTCTACCAAAATATGACTTCAGTGTTGAATTTCTCGTCCACGGCTGTCTCACCTTCGGCGCCATTTTTAGGAAACACATTTCCTGTTGACCATGTCATCATCATCCTTTCATCATTCACGTTTATCACAAAGGTTTGTTGTCACCAACAGCAGTTGGTGAACCCCATCAAATTTTTATTCTTTTTCTCCTTGTTGCTGTTTATCGTGTATCTCGACTAAAGCGCTGGGGTCTCTTTACCTAGCTCACCCGGGAGCCGCAGAATGCTGAAAATGGCGATTAGACTGATCTCTACCCCTATCGATCACACTACAGAGATATAACGTTGTTTATTGCATGTTATAGGCCTTTATAGAGTATAGCATTTATATAAGAACAATCCATTGTAAATTGATGCTCCCTTAACAAACCACTAGTTAACAAGACGTAACTAGAAACTACTAGGTCTTTCAACATACGTTTGAAAGTGCTACAAAATTTCGAATCGTAGTTCGCAACATGTATGTGAATGAAGAGCATAGGAGAAATCCTAATTAAATAGCAACTTAATAATATCCAAAGATTTACGAATTTTTTCACCTCAGGCTTGCCGGAAAACGTACCCGGACCGCATAGCTCAAACTGGCAATGTAAACAAAATAGAAAGATTCTACCATCATTCGTTCGCTAACTGGGCGTATTATTATGAGCTATGGCGGACGCCTGTCACCTACCCCAATTGAGTTCTGTTATCCAATCAATGAGATTATCGTAGAACAGGTGTAAGAACCAGCGGTGAACACTCCTAACGAAACAAACGCTGCTCCTAGCAAAAAAGCTACCACATTCTCTGCAAGGATTGGAAAGTACTACTTAACGCTAAGGTTGTCAAGAGGATCGCGCAACTACAACAGCAAAACGAATACATTTAATGCCTGCCCGGTCTGTTGGACTCCCTTCGGACAACGAAATTTTTAAGATAACAAAGAATAAGCGACACAATATAATTGTAAATTAATGAACCCAACGAGGTAACTAGTAGAACATTCAATATTACCCTTCTTTCGGTTTTAATTCAATACCTCACCTCCTCTATCAGGTGTTTTTTATTGAACAGTTTTGTTCGCTCGGTGCGCCTAAACCACGTACAGATCTTTGTCGACGGCCCGGCTTTACTCGAGCATTTTCTGTTGTAAGACTTCCCAGTCCCGTTAAACACAAATACGAGCTGGGTTGACTCTTGAATGAGATGCATTTCTCAGGTAGGACCATTCCCGTAACTATCCGTCATTATAGCTGCGTGTTGCTCCGTACCGGACAAGGAGTTAAGAGCAAAGGTAAAGCGTAGAGTTTTGTTCCTTTTTAACTTCCTTTATGGTCCACCCTGACTCCTACTTTTCAAATAGATACTATAAAATCAATATGCCTGACACTAGTCATATGAGTGCAGTATATCTTCCAGCAAATTCACAAGCTGCTTGCCGGTCTTCTGCCCTGAAAAGTACGTTCAGGTAGTCTTCATCGATATCGGATTGGGATGCATCGTCCACTTCTGAAGTACCTTGCCTAAAATGTCGCTTCTAAAAACCTTCTTCTAAAATAACGCTATTGAACTTCGCAAACCCTTCGTGAACAACCCTCTCAGGTCCCAAATTCACGCCGTCCACGACGCAAATATCTCAGGCTGCTTCACTAGGCCTTTGCTCTCACCCAAATTGAGAAATGTACTTTTTTCATTAGGAACATCCATCCTCGAAAGTTGAACTCGAGTAAAATAATCTGTTCACTGCAAATGAGCATTATATATGCACCAATCCGATACAAGCGGACCTGGTGCATTCGATTTCAAGCCGTTGAACAATCGTCATCGCAACTTCATAATTAGAAACTCAGCGTTTTGGCAATAAACGGCTCCATGATGTGTAACTAAGGGAAGCACCGCCTAAGCATCATTTTAACTGCTAATAACAATAATTTTGAAGATTAGTAACACTTGGAACACATACTAGGACAACGTAAACACTATCTTTACGCATTATCTGAATAAATCAACAAATATACTTAATTAATCGATATGTGCAAGTGCACATATCAGGCCGTAACTAATAATCGTCACGATAAGACGATCGTTATCCTACTTGGAAAACGTCCGTGGGCACGTAAAGCTGATGTTGTTGTTGAGGTCGGCGATGCTGTAAACACATTTGTTGACCTCAAGATGGTCACCAGTTATTGAGTTTTTTTTATCCAGTACGGCGGCAGACGCTGACATGTCTATGATATAGTTTCAGATAAGATAACCTGTTAATGAACTTGACAATTTCATCTATTCGGAGAAGTCGTTAGGTAATTCTTGCTGACCGCATAGTTAAAGAGGATGCATCTATAGTAATACTATAGGCAAAATAAGAAACGCAACAAAATTTGCACCGAGGTACTTACGCTAGTAAAATCTGAAAAAGATTCAGCTGTTACAGTTCATTTACTTCCTGAAAACGGTTTTGCGATCGATGTCAAAGTGGTAGTGACGCTTTGTTTTTGTGCTCGCGTTGGTACAAGAACGACACGTCGTTAGTTCAATAGATGTACCGGCGATAGCAGAAACGCGTTCTATAGATTAGCAAGCCATATTGTTTTCGGGGACTGTTATTCTCACGTAAACTAATTAACGTGCTCAACTTAAATCATGGAACTTGACTCCATATAACTGTATATAAGCCCGCTTCTACGGAAATGTTATCAATAAAAAGCAGCTCGTGGCGTTATAGCTTCAGCGTTTGCCATGCTCAGCCTATTACTCAATCAAATTATCATTCTATATTATTCCCAACGTAAACGCACCTGTTGATTACGATTTACTAAGTGTCTTTAAGATCAATAGTTCAGATTTTGAAAGAAAATACAATGTCACAATTACATATATAGTGCCATTAGCAAACTACAAAGTGCGACATAGTTCACGTTAAGGACCTTGCTAATATACCCGAGCTCCTAGAAACATAATCCTTACTGACCTTATGTAGAAGCCAAATAGATCTGGGATACCATAGTAAGGATCTTAGTGCACCGTGAGAAAATTATATTTCGATCAATTGAAAACAACTAATACTACAAATGAACGTTGAGTAGTTTAATTGACACATTTTTATTACCAGAAAGATGATTAAATATATAACATCGATGGCCGTGTGCTTTTTTCTAAGAAGATTTTATTAGGTAGCTGATCTATTCATTCACTGAGAAATGATGTAGGATTTCCAATTGCCAAATCGGAGTTTCACGAGAGGTCTTAATCTTATCTGTATTGCGGTCTCACCAGAACACATCAGGCCTAATTTATTTTATTCTCTTTAGTCGTTTCAACAAGAATTGGATTGATTCATGAATAAAGATCTTATTTATCGATCGCTTTAAACAAACTATATCCACTCTATGTCCATTTTTTTTTTTGTCATACACACAACCCCTTCCCGATAACCATAGGAAAGATGCTTTGACGGTAGCTACGTAACTTTGTTACTCATTGCGATAGTAACTACGATTGGACAACTACAGATAATGAGTGTAAAGACAAGAAGTTAAGAAAAAGCATCTTAGACTAAATTCTAATTTGCGATAAAAAAAGTTTATCGTTGTCGTGGTATGTGATCGGAACCTTAGAGCTCTACAAAATATTTTCCGTGATCCATATCCTATAAAGAAATGTTTACCGGTTCAAAGCAATCAAATATTTTTTCAAATCATGCTCGTGCACGCATATTGTTAAACATGAAAGCATTTGCTTTGTAACCTGTATAAAATCTGACGTAGAAGACGTTGAAGGTTGATATTGTGCCGTTGTACGCTGATCGCGAAGCGCTTTCGCCATCTTTAATCAAAGCTGAATTTGAAGCCTGTGCGACATTATGACCCGTATGTTCAGTTGACCTTCGTTTGTTGAAGTTCAGGCAACCTTTCACTATCTGTTACTGCCGCTCGGCATTCACTGAAGAACTGAGTTGCTTTTCTGGCGAAGTGACGGCCCGTTGTCTCCGAGGGTCACTGAATTCATCGGCCTCATCCTGACGATCGTCTAAAGCTAATCGTATAGTGTTCGCTATATGTATGAGGGATTCATTATCGAGCTGGCTCTCCTGGAAGGCTTGCAGTGCTTCCATTACAAGCTGGCGTGATTTGCCATTGCGAAACGCGCTTACAGCCATATTGATTGCAATTAGAGGATCTTGTGGCCTTAACTTTAAAGCCTGCTGATAGGCCCGCTGAGCGCTTGCCTCTTCACCCATGGTATCCAATGCCAAAGCACAAACCTGGAGAAGTTCAGTTAACAAAATTTTAACGAAGTCCATTAATAAATTGCAAAAAACATACGATGTTGATCTGATATAGTTTGTCTTACATTAAAAGGAAATCGTACATTGTTTTCGTAAGTCCTAACAGTGTGGCCTATAGCAATGTGAAGCCAAACCTGATATAGTTGTGATAAAGCCTCGTTATTATGATTAGCAAGGCCGAGGGCGATTGCTGCTTGGGCAAAATGAAATGCGGAAGCCCCCTGCTGCATCGTAAGATGGACTAGGCCAAGGTTGTAGAGCACTTGCCAATGAAACGGCCCGTAATATTGGGCCCTTTTCAAACAGCTGATGGCAGCAACGTATTTCTTCTTGGCGAAAAAACACATAGCAATATTGTTCCATAACGTAGCCGAATGTGGTCTTTGGGCACCCACTAATTTATATTTTGAAAGCGCTGCATCCAGATCACCGTAGCCCTAAAATAAGTTAATATTTTTCATTAATTATACACATATGTTAGAGCCTTGGTTATTTCTCACAATGCACAGCTTATCTATATGGATCTGGCACTAGCAGACCGAAATTTCCGAATAGACAATGTTTTTGAGCTGTACCCTGATGCATCAGGTTGTGTAATTTTTTGTTTGTGTGGTCTTGATAATCGGACAACTATCGATATAATGGTATGACACTGACTAACTTATGCTGCCATTCGAGCATGGAAAAAAGTCATAAATGTTAAGTTTGAGAAAAACCTAAGATTATGCGTTTTTCTTTCATGGCAAATGAGTGTTCATCAAGGTTATTTACATATATCTAGCCTTATTCATCTATAACTACCTGCAATATGTTAGCAGTAATTAATAATGCGTCTGGTCGCTGGGGTTGTCTTGTTAAGGCAACGGAAAGCCGCTCATAGGATTGTTGCGTCTCGTTATGGTACATCTCGAGAAGAGCAAGCTCGCTAGCCAACGATGCGCTGTTTGGAAATAATTCAGAAGCTTTTCGTAGGACACTTATGGCCGATGAAAGATCGCCCTGACGCCGAAGAAGTTGTGCTAGCTCAGAGTAGCTAGCTTCGGCCGGACGCAACTGTACGGCCGTTGTGAGCGCCCTCTGGCCGCGTTCTATTTGTCCAGTTCTTGCATAACATAAGCCCGCTCCATGTTGACTTTCCCAGTCTTTCGGTTGTAGTGTGATACATTGCTCGTAAACCTGTCAAAGGTTTTTTCATTTGAAAAATATTTTGTGTACGGCTTCATAAATAATAAAAGTACTTATATCTTGTAAGTTATAGAATCGTACTATAAAATAAAACAAGTAGGTTTTATTTTATATACATTGAGGAACAGTGGTAATACAGTACAATACGTTAGGAGAAATACAAAAATACCTCTGCAGCATCAAGATGTCGTCCCATTAGTAAATAACATTTAGCAATTTGTTTTAGTGTATCCGCAGACGGTCGAAGAAGAGCGCAGCTCTGGAATAGCTCTAATGCCTCCTAAAATATTAAAGTATACCATTAAACATAGCCTTGCGATGATCTTATTTAAGCAGATTTGTCTGCCGTAGTAGTGATAGAAGCATTTCCCAAATCAATATACTCAGTGAGGACACAATAAATACTAACAGACCTATGTGACATTACGTGATAGGATGATTTAGAAGCCGAATGGGTATAAAAGGCGATTTCTTTTGACCGAAAACCGTAGGGTAGATTCCACGCTTCACAAGCAAAACGTCAGCAGGATAGCCTTATGAGATATCCATAGGTCTCTTTAGTAATTAAAGTTGATTCTATGTTGTGATAAATACAGTAATCTAACACGGTTTTTTATGAAGACAGCCATAATTAAATGCATGTGAGCCTCTGATACATTTATCGACTGGCCAGTCAGCTGGAAAGCAAGGATTAGTGGAATAAAAAAAACACTCTGTTTTATTAATGTCTCTAGAGGGCAACGTTACCTGCAATTTGCCCTGTTGGCGTAGCAACAAAGCATTTATCGTGAGAGGATAAAGCGAAAGCCCGGCAGACTGCGATAGAGCTTCCTTGCAAAGTTTTTCGCAATTTTCAAGGTCACCCCGCACAAAACACCAATGTAACAGCCAATTTCGGCGTTCATGAGATTGAAATTCACCCATTTCAAATTAATAATAAATTTTCACATAAACCTATCTCGAAAGGGAATACACACGATCTCAATGTCAATTAATTAAAACACCATACAATGACCAATCATTTCGGTTTAGATGCATTGTCTACACACTCTGGTAGCTAATATTGGGTTATTTGTATCAATACCGTTGTGTGCCACTTCTCCGAGAATAAACTGTGCAAAATATTTTTTACAAAGTTGTCACTTCTATCGTTGCCGACTTGCTTATTTAAATAGCCCAGTAGGATTTTATAATCTAACCGCTATTCCACAAAAAGTCGATGCTTATAAGCTCTTCGATGTCATCCGAGGGCTTACTACAAAGTGGAAATGTTGATTTGCTCTTGACTCACGAATCAGGGATTTCGCGTGTTGTGACAACGGAGCTTCGTGGGTTCGCCATCGGGGGCGCCACCCGGTAACTATTCCAGTAGCTCCATACCTGCTAGACAACCTTTATCTACAACTTCAAGTATAGAAATAACAAAGCAAATCTAATTAGAGCTATTTGAAATACGCATGTATATGTATATATATATATATGGAATGATACATGACTTCTGCAGTCTAACCACACTATTTAACAGAAATGTGCAAGTTTTTGAGCGCATATCGAAGTCTGGATCATAGAAAAACATTGGAAAAACATTTTTAAACGTTTAATATACATGTGTTTCGTATAAAGAGAATTCAAACTGGTGGCCGAAATAGAGGATACTTTAGAATATAGTTTTTCGTTTCTACTATCAACTCCGACATGAATTTTGCACAGAAAATAAATGTTTGACCAGAGAGAAAAACTGTGTTGTAAATTAAACTTTAATCTTTTATAGACACGCCGATATTTACTAGCTGCGTATTCATTATGCCCTTAAGAACATAGTAATTATAAGATACAATTAAGAATAATTAACCATAAGAAACAATTTCTAGTAATTAGACATTGTCTTCGGACAACTTATCCTGTGGCCAAGTCAACTTGTGTAAATTAGTAGTAAACTTATCTTGGCGATATAATCGTTGACATTAGCTGCTTGTGATCCACTGATATTGTGAGATTGCTTGTGAAATGCTTTTAACACAGTATTACAGATTCTATACAATTTACTATTCTGAATATGCACATAGACATCATCTTAGTTGTTATATGTATAGTTAAAAAGTAGATAAAAATCAAATTAAAGCTGGTCACCCAGAAGCGCCTTTTTTTTTACCTATATTTTTATATACTTCATATATACATATATATACTTTGAAAAAATAAACAAGTTTTTTCCATTGACTGTGTCAGTATTCGAATTTTTACTGAACCTTACAAGAAGGCATCTCAGAACACAGTAAATATAATACAAATATGTACAGTAAACTGTTGTTAGGTTGTAGGTTTAGGCGATAAAGGTCGAGGTTGAATAAAGTTGTTGAAAGCGAGTCCCACACTGCTTCAAGCGGAATAGATATCGTTATCTAGCAGGGCGAGCTCTTAACAAAATAGAACACAACAAAAAAAAAACGATTCTCAGCTTGAAACCAATCAACGTTACCGACAATTCACGTCGGTTGATCTACTAACTCGAACTTAAACTGTGATGGGTTAGATGCCCGTACCCGGGAGCGCCTTCTCGTCTTTGTATACCTTTGTAAACCCAATCAAGAGAGGGTAGTTCCCTCTCCCAAAATCGTCTGCCAGGCATCACAACAATTACTTATGACAAAATCAGACCTGTTTCATGCTTGTTTCGGTGAGTTTTGTTTTTCATCGTTATAATTTTATTACGGCAGTTTTTGTACGGTAATCAACCTTTTACTTAAAATGTGCTGTCAATTGAAGACAGTGATATTCATCGGTATTTTCACGATGGACACATTAAAGCCGATGAAGTCTTATCAAATGTTCATAATAAGCTGATCAAATGCCCACCTTGTAACGTTAATTACTTAATACTCAATATTTATTAACGGCCAGTTTAAAACCGGAGGAGAAATACAATGTTGTTGGTGTGCGTTGACAATATTAGGTCGACCAACTAAGTAACAAATATTTAGAAATCTCATTCAGTTTGCTTGTGCATGGACCCCAATAACGCATTTGTTAGTGGTCCGATACATGTTGCTACAGCGAGCACGCAAAGCAGGAAACAAGCGATTGCGATAAATTCGATTTGCCAACGAATGAATAGCTAGTATAGATTGAAGATTGATTGAGAGCGCAAGCCACTCTTGAAAGCAAACTGACATTAATCCTATTGAAATACCAGCAGTAATTGCTGTTGTTGCTCTGGACTCGTTTTACCATCACTACTATTCTGGCTTTATTGTTTGAAGAATTGTTTACCAATATTTTTTAATATTTGCGATTAGAGTATTCTTAATTTCGTAAATACGAAAATGTGTGATTCCTGGGAATGTCGCAGTAGCGGTCGTAATGAACGCCGCTTTGGTTATTGCTGGATGTATTTTACCGATAGTGTTTAACTAGCGTATTCGATTTGATTATGCTAAAAAGATATTGATGAACGGATATTAGCATAGTGTCTTAATTAGTTAGTTATTATACTTTTTCTCGGTATTTTTAGTTATTATACCATCAAACACTGTATCGTTATAGAACTTTCTTTCGAGTTTTTTCAAAATTTAGTACAGATTTAGTGCAAAATGCACTTTTAAGACGACCCGTGAGACATTGTTAAATGATGAATTTTCCTATTTAGTGGAAGTAATGAATTTCACGAAATTAAGCATTACATGATGTGCATTGCATCAAACTGAATGCACCTATGTACTATACAAGCAAATATATATATATATATATATTTTTTTTTTATATACGATTCCATTTAAGCTATTCAAACCTTGTAGCGTGCGTTACCCACGTTCTAAATTGTCAATAGCAGTATTGGTAAGTTAGCTGGTTAATGTGCCGCTGTTGTTACTATGACAACATACATGTATTTGAAAAGTTTTGCATTATATGTACATGAATAATGAGTGTCACACACAAACAAGAAATCAATTTGTAAAGCTATTTTTGACGATGTAATCGACGATATATCGTACTGTTTGATTTACTGATATTGTGAATTTGGCTGTGAAACGCCTTTTTCAACTTGGTACCACCCTGAATATGTATGTCATAAGTAAGTTATATGTACTTTAAGAACTGCAGGCCAAAATGAATAGAAATTATAATTTTATTCTATGACCCTTTCTACCTATATTATCTCATTTTCCACTACTTACTCGGTCTTTGCCTTTCTGCGGAATGTTACAGTAAAATCTTTCAATACATATTGAATGTAAGACAAATTTAACCAGTTTACTATTACACAACGTATTATAAATGAGTACATAAAAAGACATAAAACTACTAAAAACTAGACTAAAACTAAAAAACAGGTTCGTGGATATGAGAGACTCTAATAGTCGTCTGATTTTATACTGCTACATAAACTCGCTCCGTATCTTGCACGTTACATAGCATCAGACCGTGGGTAGGTGGTCAACTTCTTCAATTGCGTTGGTATTACTGTAATGGTTCCCACAATTGAATATTCCCAAATACGAAGTTATACAAAATTGTTGAATGAGCTGCAGATATTCTGCGCCTATACAATAGCGTCCCTCCATTTAAATACTGTACTCTGTTGAACCAACATGGTTAATTGTAAGAATCATGGATAATCTGATTTTCTAATGGCGTAAATAAGAGCGGAATAAATGGTTAACGAAATGTGTTTGAATTTAAAATCTCTCAATACCAGTGCACTTCCCTTACGTGGCTAGCATTTAGAATAGAAAGAGCTCAGCAACGAAGAAGCAATTGGCCAGCATGAACTTATTTAACAATTATATGTCAAGATTTCATTTTTAGTTAAAATGCTTGTGTCAATGAATATCTTGTATTATCATTATTCTAGTATGACCTTAAAGCATGTTATAGATAGACTTTTTATTTCTTATTTCGGTCCTAGTACACTAATGTTTTTGATGTGGTACAACTGACCTAACCTAGTACGGGTACATTGTCCTGGTTAATGTTCCTGTAGCCAAGTTTATCCTTCAAAAAACAATCCTCAGAGATCTTTATTGCATTTCGTACATGGGAGTGCAAAACAAGATCTTAGAGGTGGTATAAGTCTTAAATCTCATGCTGTAATTAGAGATCCAAATGTCATTACGTCAATCTTTCTAACATATTCTAAAACGACATACGGCGTATGTTGCGCTTCGTACGACGCAAGATTCCAGCTAAAGTCCTAATCTATACGCACTCGTATACACTATACGCTTTACTACACGATATATATCTATACGCTGTTTTGTATACGCAGGGAGCGTTATGACCTACGCAGCGCCCTGATCAAAAGTAAAGAGCTTCTTGAATACATTTGCCAGAGGAGCAGCACATAAGTGCCAATGTAAAAGGGATCTGCTTAAGATTACATCTATTTTAAATTGCTTTAATATTATTAAGTGATGCTTATGAAGATGGAGAAAAACAGCTGAATATGGTCGAAACGTTGTTTCGTATCATCGAAGCCAGCCATACTTAAAAAATGTCTTAGCAAAATTCGTAGCAACAAACGATACGTAAACGATTTTTTCTCATATAAGGTATCGCGTATACTAAGAATAAATGCTACACAAGTCTTGTTTTATAAAGATTAACTAAATGTTTTTAACAAAAGAGCAAACATATATATTTTAAACTCTCACTTTCTCTTTCCCTGGATGCAATATATGGCGAAGGCTTGAGTAGCAGTCGAAGTATTTCAAAACACCTCACATGATCTCAGGTTCCGAGGTCGCTCTTCTTCGCTACTGTATAAACAAGCTAGACTAATACTTTTCGGCTAACACTCTCTCGAAGATGTTGCCGTTTTTTTTTTATTGAGGGCTCTATACCTTGATTCTGTCAGAATCGAGTGGTATATAAGAGAAAATATACCAGCCACCAAGTTATTGTAATAACATTGATAGAAGGCATATATAAGGAGATTCTGAGCAAAGGTTACTAGTACGTATAGTAATAGTCCGCTTAATATGTAATCATTATTATTACTAGAGTAAATGATGTGAAAATCAGAATGTATTGATGGCATAAACGATAGTCACAGGCTTTTGAAAATCAGTTAGTTAAAAAATGTTCTTTGGAAAATCGCAATGCAGGGAGCGGCTGCGTTGATTGACTTTCGGGTGATTTTCTGGTCATGTATAACATGTATTATAAATTATATTACCTAATTTATCATTATTTAGTTGATGTGATTGTTCTTAAAGTTAGATTTATTTCCATATCTTATTTGAAACCAAGATCCTTTCGTGCTCGCTCTTCAAAACTGTTTGGAATACATCTTGAATCGAGTTCGACCGAAACAAAATCAAGCGTGTTATCGCTTTTTTTTGCATTTCTTTGTCCTTAAACAAGTGAGAAAAAAGTAGGTTCATCTACAACAGTATTAACGTACTTATTTGTGTAGCACGATAGCGAAAAACCGCGTCAACTATTCTTGTTTCATTGCTACCGCAAAATTTGTAAGTTACGCCTAAGTGAGTGATCCATAGTGGCTCTGTATATTAGGCAGTGTTCTGTAGTAAACGCCATAGGTCAGGTTAATCCGCAGACTTTTGCTTAACAACTGCGGAAACAGGGGGCACAAATTCAACATCCGAGGGCATTTGCATGAGTAATGCAAGAAAATCCTGCGTTGCCAACTTTAAAGGGCCACCTATGAAAATCCCTCACGGAGCGAATCGAGTCTTTCAGTTCGATCGATGGTACCTTTTACACTTTCTTAATCCATCTAGAAACACCCCTTCCCAAATCGAAAACTTTATGATGACTGCCGTTCTTATACGAGGAAGCGTTACCGGCCGGTTATGTCAGGTTTATTGGGTAAGTTAGCCTTTTTCATGAAGGCTTCGTTCTTGCAGCGTGTTCCACCGTCCTGGGATTTTGTTGCTGACTCGTATTTCGAAAGCATACTTTTGACGTCAATAGATCGTTAGCACGACGACAACCAGTGATCAACATGACCGCAAGTGGCATCGATGTTGTAATCGGGTGAGTTTTTGGTATCTGGGAGATTCGTATCGATACAGTATTTTTACTGTTATTTGTGTTGTATCGTCAGCAATAAACAGTAAATTCGTATTTGATAAACTTATTTCCATAGATCTATATAACATAGGACAATGTTTTACGAAGGCCTGATTTCGAGGCCCAAACGGTAAGCAGCTTACTTTTCAATCTAGTTGGAGAGTTCAATGCATTCATAGCGGCGTCCGTATACAAACATCTGATACCGTTCGTATCAGATGTTTGTATCTCCGTCTAAATCATTACACTGTCTTTTTGGGCACTATTTATTCTTAAAGAGGCATCATGGTAAACCACTAGCGTTTGGTTGATTACGAGATCCGATAATTACAGAAGTGTAGCATCCCTATGATACTAATAACGCTAACGGTTTATTCTAAATATTAATATGATTATGCAATCTCATAAAGACGCCTGCAAGCCATAGAGTTGCGTGTGCTCCTCATAACTGTAGTAATAAAAAGATAGCTTTTAGCACGTTAGTTTAAACACTCTTTAAACCTGGTCTGCTTTTACACTTTACAAATTAGTTGTATCTAATTTTTGCCTTCGATTTTCATAAGCCGATTTAGGTTGTGGATGTGTGATAAAAAAAAAGTAATAAATTATGCACTTAAAATGCAACATTAATAAACATTTTATTACAAGGGTGTCACTTCAAGACTCCTTCATTGAAGTAAATAAAAACATCATGCATATACCGTGATTGATGTGCTGATTCACTGCAAAAACAAAGCGGTCTAAAGAGGGCTTGTTTAGATCTATCAGTACTGATATAAAATATGATCGTTGAATTTTACGAACTTATATGGTGTAATAGGATAATGATATATGAAATACTTCGTAGCCCGCCAGTCCGATTCAGAGTCAGCCGTTGATTTGAAATGAGTTGAGATGAAATAAAAAAATACAATGATTTATCTTTACGGTAAAAATGAGACCTACTTATTTTGTGCATAAGAATATATTGTCATTTTTAGTTAGCTCTTTTTATAGTACCTTGGTACTAGGCTCATTATTTCTCTATTACACAATCATTACACGCTTGTGCGTTTATTTGCTTGAAGAGATGTATAATTTTAAAAATAATTTGATTTCTAATCTAAACAAACCTAAAAAAAAGCGATTTATTCCCTTTTCACAAACATAGCTGTTGACGTTTCCGCGCCGGCGACATATCCGCCTCGTTTCAATTAGATTGTATATGTAACTTTACCATCAACATCAAAATTTAGACTTATGCGAACTGTCAGGCCTTATCCGTTTTTCCGGTACGAAGGAAAAGGAATAAAAAAAAGTGCACAAATTCACCCATCGAAAAAACCGGTAAAATAAGAAATCCGTTCCCATGAAAAAGTGTTTTCTATTGCATGAAGGGGTATATCGTATTATGGTACTCAATTCCTTATCCTGTTTTTAGGCTACTTACCTAATATTCGTACGTTGTTATATATCCTTCCAGCTATTTGGATGCCCATCAGAAGGAGTATATTGATCGCCTCGCTGAGGTGGTCGCAATCAAATCAGTATCAGCATGGCCGGAGTTTCGTCCGGACGTCATCAAAATGGTGAACTGGATGAAGACCAAACTTGAAGGTGGGTCATTTTATAGTCAAACGCAGCGTGAACCCTTTACAAAAACAGCTGAACCTATAATGCTTATCTTGTACGTAATGTAGGCCTTATACACGTGTGGCAAAAGGATAACAACTTATATATGTGTTGTAATAATATATATATTCAAACAATGTATATATATATATATATATATATATAGGTTTTCAAATTCTGCGGCAAATTACATGTTTTATAAACATACTAGTTGGTATCCTATGCTCCATGTATTTCTTTCATTGATTTAAGCTCGACACTTAATTTAAGCTCACTTTTTATTATTGACGGTTGTTTAGTATATGCGAGTAAATCTATTGTGTGCCTTCATGTATTTTTGAATTTCAGACTGTGGGGCGAAATGTGAACTCCGTGACATCGGACAACAAACTCTCCCCGATAAGTCTCAAATTCCATTACCCCCAATTCTTTTAGGGAGCCTGGGAGAGGATCCTGCTAAGAAGACCATCTTACTATATGGCCATCTCGACGTTCAGCCTGCTCTTAAAGGTGAGTTCAGACATTAACGGCAGGGTGAAGTTGATACAAAAAGAAACTTATTTTTATTAAAAAAATAAATTCAGTCTGAAAGCCGCCTGTCACAGCATCAATCCTGAATACAAATTTAATTTGTATAAATATCCATCACGGCTGAGTTTAACTACAGCACGTAGTGGATGTGGGTATTCCAATAAAATATTAAAGTGTAGCAAAAACCAGGGAAGTGAAAGTAAATCGACGGTCGTATTGAACAATCGATAACGAAGCTAAATGTTGATCAGACTTATGTATTGATAATTACGTGTATACTGATAAAGCATATCTTACTGTTTGAATTCGATTACTTTTGCGGTAGTTATATCTATAAAGTAAGAATTAGGCAACATGCGGTTGATAGTACCTTCGTACCCGTTAATCTTAATCCTGACTTACATATATATCGAATCATTAATGTCGTATCGAATACTTAATGCCTGGTATTAAGGTAAAATAAGATGTCAAGGACTACGCAGTCCCTGAGTTGACCATATGTTCTTGCTCCAAAATCAATCAAGGTTTATTGTAATAGCTTCGCGTTCAGTATCTATCTATATGCAATTATATTATAAATGTTATTCACTATGAACTGTGTTTTTTTTAAATAAAGTGAAAAAGGCGTTAGTGATTAGCATTAATTAAACATTTCTAAGTTTCCGTGAATATTTGTATAGATAAAAATTCATAACATGAACGGGTACGGCGGTTTCTTACTAAGGCATAAACGGTGACTCGTCTCCTGAGTTCAGATCTGAATTTGAATTTGTGTATGCTGACCATATAGTCGATCTTCTTGTTTGAAATCCCCGACCAGTTTTCTTATGATATACACAGCATCGTTACCTGTTTTTTTATTGCTATATGTAGACTGATCGTAAACAGGTATATGTTGAGTTAAAGTAATATTGTGTTGTATTTTTATTTAAGAGGATGGCTGGGACACAGAACCTTTCGTTCTAACGGAGAAGGATGGCAAGCTCTATGGACGAGGCGCCACAGATGACAAGGTAATTTCTGTCTAATGAACAGAACTTCGGCGTATAAATATTGCTTTAATTTTTACAGCTTCCAGATTAATATATGATAAATGCTTCGCCCCTCAGAGCTGTGTAATGTTTCATGATAGTTAAAGCTGAACACTGTAGTCTATGACCGAAAAACCGTAAAAATGAGCCTGAAACTGTGTCGATACTCATCGAATGAGATGAAATGTCCTTTTTCTCGCTACTTAATTATTGAACCTGTGTAGCACCGTTGATTAACAGTTCCAATGCTTCATGACAGGGTCCTGTTCTGGGGTGGCTCCATGTAATCGAAGCTTACAAGGCAACAAAGACTCCTCTCCCGGTCAACCTCAAGGTACTCCTCGTTTTAAAGACTGAGATTTCTAAGATCATGGCATACATCTGCTATTAATTGAGAACGGCAGGAGTGTTTGTTTTGTCAATATTCACTAAGTAGTTCGGTTATTATGGCAGAGTTGATACAGTGGTCTTGGTTTTCATTATTTGAAAAAAAGCAGCCTTTATAAAAAAGCACCCTTTGTTACTTTTTAAAAATGCAAGCATGTGTTTTGTAGTTCTGCTTCGAGGGAATGGAGGAATCGGGCTCTGAAGGTCTGGACGAGTTGCTTTTGTCAATGAAAGGGGGTGACTTCTTGAACAAGGTACGTAGGCCGCATCCAATTGTATTTTCGCGAATCGTCGATGTACCGTAGAAGGGAAAAGTAGTTATTAAAGAACAAATAATAATGATGACGATCGCGTACTGATCCTGACCTTCGCCACTAAAATTTAATTAATTTTTGATGTGTTACTTGGCAATGACAACAGGTAGACCACGTATGCATTTCCGATAATTACTGGTTAGGAACGCAGAAGCCTTGTCTCACCTACGGCCTGCGGGGGCTTATTTATTTCGGGGTTGAAATTGAATGCTCCGATAAGGATCTGCACTCTGGGATCTTTGGAGGTATGATTATTTTACATAAATCAATAGAAATTTAAACTTGCTTAGGTTCTTGCTGGTAATAATATATGTATGTCATGCCGTTTACATAAACAGTCTTCTCTGATAGGCTTAGAAGTATGTGTTTCGAAATATGATAATAAGAAAACATATCTTGGAAAATTGCTTTACCATTATCGCCCAAATAGCTCCAGAGCATGCCTTCCATTGTTTAGGATGTTCGGGAGAAATTACAAGGATTTATTAGTAAATAGTATCAGCACATTTTCTTAATTTGTCATACGCAACTAGGAACGGTCCACGAAGCAATGAACGATTTGATGTGGGTGATGTCGCAACTGGTTGACGTAAACAACAAAATTCTCATTCCTGGCGTCATGGACGATGTGGCTCCCATCACTCCCGAAGAGCAGAAGCTTTATGAGAAGATCGATTTCGACCTCAATGAGTACCAGAAAACTATCGGATGCGAGAAACTTGTCCATCATGGAAAAAAGGTGGGTGTGAAAAAATGCATGCGGCATAGGTAAGTATAAATTACTGTTCATCTTCAAAAGTAACGTAATGTCACAAACAGTGTATATTTTTTTTGTCTAGGACGAGTGTTTGCAGGCGAGATGGCGAAACCCTTCTTTGTCCATCCATGGAGTTGAAGGTGCCTTCTACGGGCCAGGAGCGAAGACTGTTATTCCAAAGTAAGTCGTACACCAAGCATGACTTAATTCTATATTTAGCTCCTAGTAAAGGTAAAATCAAGTGTGGACTTCCTTTCCTTCGAAACATTTTTGGGAACTTTGCTTTGCGACTCTTACAGGAAAGTTGTTGGCAAATTCTCCATCCGACTTGTGCCTAACCAGGACCCGACTAAGATTGGCAAGATTGTTTTGGACTACCTTAACGAGCTGTGGAAGAAACGCGGTTCGCCTAACAAGTTCCGCCCTTTCATCTTTTCAGAAGGACGGTGAGATTACATAAAATTAATCAAAATAGACGCTTCAGAAAAAGGAGGGAGTGGTTTATTTACACTGAAAAAACTGACCCTCTTAAATCTGATGTGTTTTTTATTTTTTTTAGTTTCTAATGTGACAGGGCATTTTGCAATAGTGTCCATTTAGTTTACACCTTATTCACTGAAAAATGAATTATGTGAAATGCGTCGTGGGGAGCATTAGCTAAGTGACATACCAATATACCTTTGGTATCGTCGTCAATATGGCTTGTGTTAGCAATTATCATTTAAGCAATATGAATAGACGATAAAGAGATGTGCATTTTAATCTAACCTTATGCGCATTGCATTTGTTGTTGATGTCTTGGCAGATCGTGGGTGTCGGATCCATTTCACCCGAACTTCCAAGCCGGATCCCGTGCCACGCAGAAAATCTACGGTGTTGAGCCAGACTTTACGCGCGAGGGTGGTTCAATTCCTGTAACTCTGACGTTTGAGGTAGGAAATGTTTGGTATAAGAAGGCTGCGAGTTAAACACGTGTCCAGGTATCCGTTCGTGAATGACAAAGTTTAATGTACATCGAATTGCTTTGTGCACACGCTTCTTTTGGAATTTTTGTGAACATTCTAAAATATGTCAGAAAAATATTATATAATATTATATAATATTTTTCTGACAAAAGCTACATGATGGTGACCTTGTTGTTTAGCTACAAAAATGGCATAGATAAGGAAAGATACACTATAATTGGTTCTCCAAAATTTGCGAGATAGTTTTGCAAATCAATGAGGAATTCCTACGATATTTGCTGTATCTGTCTATTCCTTCTACATTTATTCCGTTTATAGCACTACTGTTCACCTGTGTTGTTACAGGAGGTTACTGGAAAGAACGTGCTTCTACTGCCAATGGGTCAAGCTGACGATGGAGCTCACTCGCAGAACGAAAAGATTTCAAAGAGAAATTACATCGAAGGCACCAAACTGTTGGCCGTCTATCTTGATGAGGTGTCTAAATGCTAAGAAGGATCTGGAAAAAATATAGGATTATCGTGACAGAATAGAGCCACAATTACTGACAAGTTGAAACTTTTGATATTGTACCACTAATAGTCTTTTGATAATCAGTCATTAATGTGTAAACTGATATTAACGTCAGTGAACGCGTGACACACGATGGTAACGTGAAAATCGTGCCTGATGCACCTTAACTCTAATGTATGGTAAGCAAAAGTGAATAAATATATTATATATATAAATATAAAGCTTGATATTAAAAAAACAATGATGCTATAATGCTGAAACTGAAGGCACAGTGTTTTCAGTTATGATGTGATCTGTGCAAGTTGTTTGTATTATTTGGTAATGTCTTGTAGGACCAGTAATCAGTCAAGGCCTTTGGTGTATGAATATATTCATGGATAATTTCAATAGATTGCAAAAGCTGATTACAGTTTAATAATAAGACAAATGCATGCCATGGGACAATCCAATCGGTGGGTATTCAACAACACGCAAAAATTTGGGCTTTGTTATCTCGTGATCTTAGGAGGGCGATACTCGTACCTTTGTTTGTTAACTAATCTTCGGTAGTAATATACATAGTAATATATTTAAATTTTAGAACGCTATTTCTGGAAAATTATTGAATTTTAGAATTTCACTAATAAGATCAGGTGTTAGTTATATGACGCAGGGGCTTTCTTCTGAAGTCCATAGCACGAATATGCGTGCATACCTACATTTATTTAATAAAGTCTCGTTTATACCGAAATGCTAATAATTCATATTACATACATATACGGTAATGTATTTCCATCGCTGGCTTTTTTCCTGAAATTATTGTGTGGTTTTAGTATGATTAATTAATTCGGCTTGCAAGCACAACTTTTTGAGCTTAATTTTTAAGAGATATCGAAATCAGTAAACACGTTGGGATTTCCTGTAAACTTGGCAAATAATCCAAGTGGCGGAAGTTTACAAATATACCTGGGCTAAGGGTATTCAGGTTTTTTTTTCAAAAAATTGTATAGAAATAGATTTTGACTGAGTAGATTATTCAGGCAAACTGCATCCTATTGTTCTCTGAAATTAATGTTTCTGGAAGCCCTCAACTCACATTTTTACAGCAGCCGTGAGTCAGGTGTTAGTAGTAAGCAAAATACGGTTGAATTGATATATTTACTTCATACAAATCGGGGTAGATTACCACTGATAAATTAGGTTAAAAATATGAATCTACTTTTTTTTTGTTTTTTGTTGGAACTAAAATGAGTTTAGTCTTAAGCAGCTTTCTAATTTAGAGCACAATTGCGAGCTTTAAAGTTAGAAAGGGTCATCAATTTTATGAAAAAATTTCGTCATGAACTCCACGATTCGAACTGGTCGTAGCGTATATATAGCCGTTGATTGTAGTACGTTTGTAGGACGTATGGTGACGATGCTTTTTGCCTTACGCCGAGTACACCTGTAAGCATGATGTACCGTGGGTAAATGGTCCGATCGTGCGTTTTTCGTTACAGGAAGGGAATCTGATTCCTTTAGAAATTGCAGCTGAAACTGGTGTCTACGATTCATGGACAGTAGAAAGGTCAACTATACATCGTTCTACAGTTTATCGGGCCGTGTGGCATTCACGAACCGAAAAATACTCAGTTGTTGAATGAGATCTCTTCGAAGGAAAATGGTTTGGCACAAAAAGAAGTCATTAAGTTGTGAAATACTGCCAAGGAAAAGAAGGAAGCCAATTTAAGGAAAGCTCTCGAGAGCGCAGCTCGTCTCTGCGTGAATCAAAATTTTGTCGCATACAAAGAGAAGTTTTGTTTAAGGCCACTGATCGCCGATCACATGATTCGTATCCACCGCACACAAGTGGTGCAATTTAGGGCATCAATTTCATTCGGTGCAAGATACCCGATCATATTATTAGAGATATCTGACAGAAATTCTGATTAGAATTGTCGGAACTCTTCTTTTACTGGTTATGAAGGAGATCCAACACTATCATCGTTAACGACAGATTTGTTTGTTCATCTGAAAAACGTGTTAGAACACATCGATCCTAAAAAGCCCTTCACAGAAAAGTAGTGAATGGTAAAATACGATGCTATGTTTGCTTTTTATATTGACCGCCCAAAAGAAGTTTGGTACCTCAAGCTATTTTCAGGGTTTGAACAAGAGATCTACCTCAGCTGTATCTGATGGCTTAATACTGGCTATTGTTGCATTAATTAAAGTGTCTAACTGGCAGTCGCTTCCGCAACGAAAAATGGTTTTGTTCCATAATGGATAGGATCGCCATTAGTAGCAGGGTCTTTACAACGCTAGACGTTAACTTATGACGTTAGCTTATTATATCGATACTAAACTACAACCTATGTACCAAATCTAGGTAGTAAAGATTAGCATCTAATCAATATAGATTAATCCAAATTACTACAGGTCAATATGAATTCGGGAAGAAGGTGTGATAGTTTTAGTTACTATAAAATCAAAGCATTATACAATAATTACCGTTTACCCTGTAAAGTATATTCTAATCATATTAGTGAGTTTCAAAGTTGACGATCTAACGCAGCAATCTTACGTAGGTGGGTTCAGAAGAACCTATTTTCTTCATGCTCTAAAATATCGTTGTGTTAGTTGATAGCACGCATCATTCTAGATGTTAGTTTAGCTATAATCCAGCCTTATTCAAAATATGTGTCCATTAGTAGAAATATTCTAAAAGGCTATTTGAGTCTGAGTAACTGAGTTCGTTAAGCATGCATTTCACGCAAACCAGAGGGCACCCGCCGCTAAAAAGCCTTCCTGTTTCTGCTATGTGGGAGACATACATGCGATCGCAGACGTCGCTGGCAATAGACTGAATCGATACGAGGTAATATTTCTGTTCTCAGATGATTTCCTCTACAACGTCAACTATCTGCTCAGCTCGAAATTACAGAGAACGAACACGAGCAATTTTCTAGGATGGGAACATTTTGGGGGCATAGACGCGTGACTTAAACGGAACATCTGGAATCACTTGCGTACGTCCTTCCTTACTTGCCAGTAGCATAGAGAAAAACAAACGGAGTAAGTATAACGTTCGCATAAACTGAGTAAAGTTAAATGGGATATACAGTTCCAGGATCGCCAATTAGTTTTGCCTAACTGATTAGCCTGATTAGTCTTAACTGATTGAATACAGCCACTTCACCCCACCAATCTTGTTTACATATCATGTATTATTCGGGATAAGAGGTGACCGCTGTAGGCATAGTAATTGACCTAGCCATGTTTTATGTCATTTCCAAGTACTCACATAGTATATTCGTCCTCTCCGTATCAACGACGGCAATTCTCACAGTGGGTCTTCACAGGATCTTCAGAGTTATACGACGTGGTTCTCAAAGAGATTCCTCTGTCTTTACAGTGGGTTTGTTTTAAAATCCTCTACCCCTCGGACTAATTCCGGTTAATTTGGTAGGCAGGATTCTTTGTCCTCATAGTGGCTTAGTAGAAAACTGGTAACGTGTTCGACTATCAATCTAGGAGATACTACTTGGAGATCTAGGCTCGAGCCCGCGTGCGGACATTTTGTATCGTGCTGGGAACTGGCCGTCTGATAAAATACCTAATGGCGATATCGAACAAAAAGCGCAAAAGATAGATAGGATCGACAGCATCCGAAACGCGTATGATTGTGCTTTGCACTGCAATTTGTTTAACAGAATAACTTAGAATTATATATTAAGACTTCTGCTATAAGTATTCTTTTGTGGGAAGTTATAGGTGACGTCAAGAAGAATAATTTATTCAAATTTATTTAATAGGATCATTAATTTAATGATCCTAATCAGTGCCAAACAAGGCTTTGTTGATGTCACAATTTGCTCGTTAGACGCCGACCAAAATGTAGACTTCTACATAGTTTGTTTTTACGGGATAGAGTAAAACATAGTTATCTTTAACAGAGAATCTCCACTTTGGGTGGTTGCTGTCAACTATTAGTTGCGTCAAGCTACTAACAGAAGCAAAATTTAGAAATAGTTTTTTACATTATATGCTAGTTTTTCCTTATAGACTGGTTTGCAGGAGGGCAGTTCGTATTATCAGGTAGTTGTATCCTTTCGTAAATCGCAAATTTGACTTTCTGTGCTAGTTTTACCTTAGGTCCTTAGGCAGTTAGTAATGGGCAAGCACTAACGTTGTTGTTTAGGGGCAGTTAGTATATCTCCACCTATTATTTGTCGCCCGTTCGTTTTTGTTACAGAAGAGGCGAATATGATATTAACACTCGACCGAGTCTCAACTGAACATAACATATTAATGTACACGATGCAAATATTTAGGTGCAACAATTACGTAGCGCCAGCATTCACGTAAAAGAATTTGGTACCTCGTGAAATCGGCGAAAACAAGGTAACAAACGATACCCCCATTGCTCTATCTTTGTGTCAATCAACGCTCGTAATAATTCTGAAGAGCGCTTTGAATTCTCTAAAGTAGAGTCCTGCTGCAGAAAAGAGGGCACAGTGAATTATTGTCATACGTAGGCGGCCCAACGTTACGTCCAAATCTGGGATGTCTAACTAGGTGACAGCGTCAAATATAGTTTTAGCAAGGAAGCTATTACGAATACCAGTATGGAAGAAACGCTTGCGTGAGGGAGAAGACGAACCAACCCCGGCGCTTTGGCAGATGTGTGCTGGACCTTGTTACCTGACCAAACCAGAAGAACTGGGTGTCATTGTACCCCAGATAGCGGTATCTGCAGTACCGTGTTGCAGCTGCTAACACACGTGCTGTTCCATTCAGATGTGTAGGGAACTTCACTTAAGTTACAGACATAGCATCATTTTCAATACTTTTTCATCGGAATTCATAACTCTATCACGTTTTGAGGGTTGAGAGTAGAACATAAAACATGTGCCAACAATGCAGAATTATACGATATCACTCACTCAAATGGTTCAATTCAAGTCGTTAACGACTAATCTTTTGTGTGACGCCTCCAAATACGAAAGATATGATTACGCATTGGTTTCAGGGTTACTCTATCCTAAATTTGGTGAAAGCAGTCTATCTGTCGAAGATTCGACGTCTCAGAGAGCAACTAATAGCCAGGGCCCCGCTGAAGCAAAGGAAGTTAAAAGGCCCACATTTATCGTCATCGGCAGTCTTCCCGTTTCGTTCGTAGCGGAAGTTGTTCTCGAACTGCTCAATTGTCTAGGAATAGACAGAACGGACAGCATGAGACAGACTTGTTCGTTATGCTCTGCGTAAACATCTCACATTCGAACGATCCCGGATCTGCTAGATCTTAGCTATAGTGTACTAGAGCCGCACACTTTTTTTGCCAATACCTCAGCCTACATAATATAGATCGCGCGATTACAAAATATCCAATGTTCTGCAGTTTTGTAAAAAACGTTGTGGAAGGCAATTTGCAATTGCAAAAAAAATTGGCGAATTGCGATTTGCAATTCTGCTGGAAGGCAATTTGCGTCTCAGTGGTAGGTATTTGCTAACCTTTTAACTATTATTAACATTTTCAAGGTAAATGAAATATTAATTTGTAACTGAGTTGACAAAGTGCCGTATGTCATATATCGCTTAATGTTAGAAGTTGAATATCGTTAATATACTTAAATTTCGAAAACACCCTGCCAATAACTTACCGTGCTGTTTTTTAAAGTGCTTAAACGAAAAT